GTTTATTTTTAAATTTTGTGTTCCATTTGCACAAGTCAGAAACCATTTTTATCTTTAATTCTCATTTCCGGTGAATATATAAACACATAGGGTGCTTTTCTCAAAGCATAAAATTCTGCCTGGGTTGAGGACCAACTGTAATTCAAATTCACCTGACCCACAGCACGACAAGCCTAAATGGGTGTGGTTTCACTGGGTATAAGGTTAATTTCCTAATGTACTCGGATTCTTAGTTGGCCCCATAAACATTTAGATTCATATAGTCCAGGGTAAAAATCTTTCAGTTAAAATTTAAGTCAGGTGAGAAAAACTTCTTGTAGGATAACATGAATTAATGATCACAAGACAAAATCATACTTGAAAATATTAAAATCTAGGATTAGCTACAGCTCAGGTTCCCACAAATATTGTATTCATCTACAACTAAATGGGGAAGTACTCTGTCCATTATTCCTAGAGGAATTACGAAATGGGGCTCATTATCTAATTTCAACACACTATATTCTAAACCACATGGCACAATGGCTTCGTTTAAAAAAAAATGACACAAGTAAAACTAAACAATGTTATGAAACAGTGGAAATAAACTAAGCAATCACACATCTAGACATATATTTCACATTCTCTTGCCAATTCATCATCCCTCAAGTGGAATTTATTATTAAAACAAAAAGTAAAAAGTATCACTGTTTTCACTGACGAGTGAATAAAGTCCATGGAGGTATGAGCTGATGGAACTAGAACAGAACATTGTCAAACACAGAAATGGTGTGTTGTACAAAAGAAAAGATGTGTGGAATAGCTTCTTAAAAAGTCCCAATGATACCATTTAAAGATACCATTACTAAACATTTCTAAGTAGCTTATATGTCGTATTTGTGAATTTATTTAAAGGAATGATTATTGAAGACACCAGCTACCAACTCTTATTCATTTGCTACTGCCACTTTTAAAATTTCCCAAGGAGATAAAACTTTTGATGCATTTATTTTGCCAGATATATTTTCATATTCATTTAAAAAAATCAACAATTATTCCCTGCCAAGCAATTTTAAGTTGTTCACACAAACTTTGTATAATAGCCAATGTCAGCTCGCTGCTTTCAGGTGATGTGCTAAAGTATTCCCTAGGATTTTTGCTTTGAATCCAAGAAAGCCCTGAGTTTTCTCTGCCTCAGTTAGTTACATGGTAGCCAAAAATTTCAGGATAGTAGAAGTGGTTTTGTTTTGTTTAATAATTCTACATTTGTAGAAGTATTAAAAATAACAAATTATTAAATTATTGTGGAACTTCTAACCTAGTGAACATATTATGTGTTTTCACTTATAAATAAAAACCTATTTTGAATTCTTCAGACAGTGCAATCAGATTACTATTTTCATACAATCATGGAAATATAAAATGCAAAGTTAATCGAAAGTATAAAGACGAAATGCAAGAGCCTAAAACAGCGGACAACAGTCACATCACACTGAACTCTCAAGTCAGGACATAAATGAAGAACTCTGATATGACATGCCAAATACTTATGACAGAAGAAAGCATACAATAAAATCTATACCAATTACAAACTTAAACACATAACTTATAAGGCAGTAAGTTCATGCTAAAATATTGACAACAAATGATGTTTCTCTTTTTTTCAGAAAGTGATGCTACATATAAATCCCATTGCTGTTGTATACAGTGCTCGAAATTCACAGCATTTTCCCAAACTTTGTATTATACCCAAAAGCCAAAATATCTGAAAGATGCAAAAAACTAACTTAACCTAGAAAAAAAAATTTTGCTCGTAACAAAATTGAAATGAAATAAATATTATGCAATGGGGATCCATTAAAAAGCAAATAATGTAAAGTTTAACAGCATAAGTATATACAATAAACTTGCCTTATGCTCTAAACTTTATGCTCTTATTATAAGTGAGCATCTTTTATGTAAAATAATGCTCAGAGTTAAGGAAAATTGTAACTTTTTACATTTACTTTATCATTTTTGCTACACTACCCCCTTTGTTTAAAAAATGTACTTTGTAAATGTAAGACTATTCAGTTAGAATTTATAGTTAAACAGCACAAGAACAAAAAAAATCTCAAAGCGTACAAACATACAGGTTTCTCCAGAGTGAAAGCTGAACCAAACATATGGAATTATATTTAGACAGTATCAAATAAATTATAAACCATAGTGACAAGGAAAATGGAGATTTTAATACATGCTCTCTTAAAAATGAAATAAGCATATTTCTCCAACATAAGTGTATAAAACTGGAAACATTCTTGGAGATCTGAGACTAGAGTATAACCATAGTAAATAAACAAGTTCATTCTTGTATTTGTAGTAACAATCTCTTGAGAAATCAAGGCAATAAGCACAAACAATATTACTCCTCCATATAACCTCTTTTTAAAACCCTTTCACATAGGCATTTTCTAAATTTAGATTTTCTTTAATATCCAAATAAAGATACTTTCTAAGTGTGATGCAAATTTAAAGTGATTTTCAGACCTATTCTAGAAACCCATTGTCATACAAAACTCAAGACATCCCACTTTGTAAAAATCTGTCAGTGTGCTTTCTTCCTCCACATGATTACACCCTTTTTTTTTTACATTCCCAAATTAGACTTTAAAATATCTGAGGGCAGGACCTATCTATCTTTTTTATCCTCTCTAGCACCCAATATTGTGGCGAACAAGACTCAGGATGTTCAATGATTATCCAATAAATAGATAAATGCATGAATGAGAATGAAAATAGATGCAAGTCCCAGTCAAATGAAGATGGATTAGGTAGCATATTTCCATAGTGAAAAGCAGTACAATCAAAGGCATGTAGAACACTTACATGGGAGAGTAAAGACTCCTGCTCTAGAGTCAAAAGCATTCCATTCTGGGGACCAGCAGTTGTCATAATGGCTATGTCACTGGACTCCCATGTAGTCGACCACGACTCGGGTCCCGGACCCCGTGTCTTAAACTTACGCCGGGCATGTGTGCGAGCGTGCCCAAAGATCCTGAGAGGAGAAAGGAGGAGATGGGAATTGCAGCGTGGCCATCCCCCCTGGTGCAGGGGGTGATTTCTCGCTTTCTGTCTCTCTGTCTCTCTCTGTCTTTATGGTGAGCACACGTGCCCTATAGCAAAAACCTCTCCAAGACGAAATGCAAGAGCCTAAAACAGCGGACAACAGTCACATCACACTGAACTCTCAAGTCAGGACATAAATGAAGAACTCTGATATGACATGCCAAATACTTATGACAGAAGAAAGCATACAATAAAATCTATACCAATTACAAACTTAAACACATAACTTATAAGGCAGTAAGTTCATGCTAAAATATTGACAACAAATGATGTTTCTCTTTTTTTCAGAAAGTGATGCTACATATAAATCCCATTGCTGTTGTATACAGTGCTCGAAATTCACAGCATTTTCCCAAACTTTGTATTATACCCAAAAGCCAAAATATCTGAAAGATGCAAAAAACTAACTTAACCTAGAAAAAAAAATTTTGCTCGTAACAAAATTGAAATGAAATAAATATTATGCAATGGGGATCCATTAAAAAGCAAATAATGTAAAGTTTAACAGCATAAGTATATACAATAAACTTGCCTTATGCTCTAAACTTTATGCTCTTATTATAAGTGAGCATCTTTTATGTAAAATAATGCTCAGAGTTAAGGAAAATTGTAACTTTTTACATTTACTTTATCATTTTTGCTACACTACCCCCTTTGTTTAAAAAATGTACTTTGTAAATGTAAGACTATTCAGTTAGAATTTATAGTTAAACAGCACAAGAACAAAAAAAATCTCAAAGCGTACAAACATACAGGTTTCTCCAGAGTGAAAGCTGAACCAAACATATGGAATTATATTTAGACAGTATCAAATAAATTATAAACCATAGTGACAAGGAAAATGGAGATTTTAATACATGCTCTCTTAAAAATGAAATAAGCATATTTCTCCAACATAAGTGTATAAAACTGGAAACATTCTTGGAGATCTGAGACTAGAGTATAACCATAGTAAATAAACAAGTTCATTCTTGTATTTGTAGTAACAATCTCTTGAGAAATCAAGGCAATAAGCACAAACAATATTACTCCTCCATATAACCTCTTTTTAAAACCCTTTCACATAGGCATTTTCTAAATTTAGATTTTCTTTAATATCCAAATAAAGATACTTTCTAAGTGTGATGCAAATTTAAAGTGATTTTCAGACCTATTCTAGAAACCCATTGTCATACAAAACTCAAGACATCCCACTTTGTAAAAATCTGTCAGTGTGCTTTCTTCCTCCACATGATTACACCCTTTTTTTTTTACATTCCCAAATTAGACTTTAAAATATCTGAGGGCAGGACCTATCTATCTTTTTTATCCTCTCTAGCACCCAATATTGTGGCGAACAAGACTCAGGATGTTCAATGATTATCCAATAAATAGATAAATGCATGAATGAGAATGAAAATAGATGCAAGTCCCAGTCAAATGAAGATGGATTAGGTAGCATATTTCCATAGTGAAAAGCAGTACAATCAAAGGCATGTAGAACACTTACATGGGAGAGTAAAGACTCCTGCTCTAGAGTCAAAAGCATTCCATTCTGGGGACCAGCAGTTGTCATAATGGCTATGTCACTGGACTCCCATGTAGTCGACCACGACTCGGGTCCCGGACCCCGTGGCTTAAACTTACGCCGGGCATGTGTGCGAGCGTGCCCAAAGATCCTGAGAGGAGAAAGGAGGAGATGGGAATTGCAGCGTGGCCATCCCCCCTGGTGCAGGGGGTGATTTCTCGCTTTCTGTCTCTCTGTCTCTCTCTGTCTTTATGGTGAGCACACGTGCCCTATAGCAAAAACCTCTCCAAAAAAAAAAAAAAAAGGCATTCCATTCTTGTCAAATAATTAGAAAAATTCAGTTTAAAAAAATTATGTAACATTCCTTTACTGCTAGACTCTCAAAGTGCATGATATGATAAAATACAGTATGACTTTTGAAGAGTCTATCAATATAAGAGTTTTGTATTTATATCATCTCTGCAAAAGAATATTCTAAGGAATCAACTTTAGGAAGCAATGCTTTAGAACAGTAAGATACTATGTTAAACCTCCTTCACCAAAGCAGCATTATAGTTTTGAAAAAAGTATTTGATATTCCATTAAATATTCACCACTATCACCACAGAAAGCAGAATGAAGGGAAAGCTATTTATGGGCATCCTTCTTTACTCTCTTGTTCATTTTTAAATGCTAATGGAATATCTATTTACTGTTGCTAACATACTCCGAAGGATTTAGTTATACTTCACTGAAGAGGTGTTTTTTGTTGTTGCTTTTTTTTTTTTCATTTTCCTCAAAATATTTGTTTCCTTTTCTTTCTAAAGTGGATGTGAAAAAGCAATATACACCTCTGGATTTGTACCTTAAAGATGTCTTCTGACAATGAATATCTATGTCTAGTTTAATCTTTGGAAGTTTTTAATAAACGTTAATAGTTATGAATGAATGGGATAAATGAAATTTCTGAGGAAACTGTCAATAGATACGATTCTGAGATTTCACACAGGTCCACTGTGATTCTGCAAAATAATTTAACCCACCTTCTGTCTGGCTAAACTACAAATAGAGTAAAAGATGTTTCTGCACAGGCAGCAAAGTACTATAGGAAATCGAGGGCAAGCTGGGAGTGTGCGACTCTCCTGTAGATGATCCAAGTGCGAACCTAGAGCCAGCTCTGCCTAGGCTGTGTGGCTTTGGGAGATCTGTCAGCACCTCAAGATATCAGGTGTCTTTCATAAACGAGAGTGAGAAACAAGCTGAATGGCTTTTATACTATTTGCCTCAAGGACTCTTGTAGTAGTGGAGTATAAAAGATCCCCAAGTTGGACTCTGACTTATACCTTTTACTAAGCAGCTCCACTTTTACATGTCTTAAATATTAAAATTCAGAGGAAAAATCAATGGCTAAAATTCAGAGCGATACTTATTTTTTTAAATAGATCATGCTAATTGAAAAAGGAAAACCATAGATTGCTATGACATGTTCTAGTTCACAAATGTAAGGAATGTATTTTCATATTCAGTAAAAACATTTTTTTCTATTCATTCATGTGCTCTTGGTTCAAGTACAATAACATCTTAATGACGTCTATTATTTTTATATAGCTTATTGTGCACTTTCATAATATCTTTCTCATTAAATAAAAAGATGAGTTCATGTGTTACTTTTCAAAATAAAATGAAAGACAACACAGAGATTGGATGAAATCAATCCCTGCCCAACTCTTTAGAGTTATCTTTCATTCTGCCTTTGGGCACTTAAATACTGTACTGCATCATCATCTTTGAGGTAGAACCAAAAAAAAAAAGCCAGACACATTCACATAAAGAGGGAAAGAAAGCTGCGAGCGATGTCTCTTTAACATGACTATCATCCTTAGGCTTTGCAGTCTTCTTTGACACAAAGTTGAGAAATGGTCTTCTTAATGCGAAGGGCCGTGAGGCGAGCTGCCCCATTGGCATACCAGCACTCACGCATTATTCTCCCCATGACTCGGAGTGCCTTGAAGAGAAAGAAAAACAGCAAAGACTTTAGATACTCACACAAAATAGAGTCCAAAACAAGCAAAACCACAAACCCGGAAATTGTTCGTAAACTTTCATTAAGAAATAATAAATTTAAAGCACTTTTTAAAAATGAAATTAGGGCCAAATCCTTAAAAAATACTATCAGTACAAAAATATTCACCTTGTAGAGACTAATTTAACTAAAAATTCAATGCATTGATTTCTGGGAATATGGTAGAATGACTATCTTTTAAAATCCTCTAGAAGAGTCATAAAAGACATGAAGAGACACAGAAGTTGAAAAGTCACTAGATCTTGATCTGGGTGGTGAGAACACACGTATACACATAAAATAAATCATCAAGCTCTGTATTAAGAAGTGCACATTGTGGGATCAGCAGGTGGCATGGTTAAGGTGCTGGACACTCTCACATGGCCAAAAACGGTTTGAATCCTGGACCTGGTGACTTGCTTTCTCAGTTTCTCTTTCTCTCTCTCTCTTTCTGTGTCTTTCTCTGGTCAAATTATAAGAATCATAATAAAAATGTGCAAAGTAGAAAACAATGAGAATGCTGAAATCAGAAATATATAGGAAATTACAGAAGGCGGTGGTTGCTCTGGCAGCATGTGATGATCCCATGGTCTAGAACTGCAGAACTGAAGCACCATACATAAAAGATAGAAAACCCAACTCAGAGTGCACAGAAAGTGTCAGATGAAGATCCCCGAATTTAAGGATAAATATGTGCCAAGGAAGAAACTTCTAAGGGAAATTGCCTAAGTTTTGTCTGTTGGTGAAGAAAGAAATCAAGTCCATGGCAGAAAGCCTGACCTCATAATGAAAATTAACAAACACATGAGAAAACAAAATACCATAAGCAAGAGTCAATTGAAACAATAAACAATACTATCAGATCCATAAAAACATTAGATGCCAGAGTTAAACGGTATAAACAAGTATATAAAATAGGAACCAGCAGATGGCGTAATGGTTACATTACTGGACTTCCACATGGCTGACTGGTTTGAGTCCTGAACCTGTCAGCTTGAAACTCACACCGGGCACTTGTGTGCATGTGCCCAAAATCTCAAGAGGAAAGTGGAGGAGAAGGGATTGCGACATGGCCATCCCTGGGGGGGGAGTGATTTCTTGCTTTCTGTCTCTCTGCCAAGTCCATGTACCCTATAGCAAAAATTTCTCTCTCCTTCCCCTCACTCTCTCTCTGCCTCTCTCTGGGCAAATTTAAATAAGTGGATGGATAAATAAAATTAAATAAATAATTCTTTTAAAAAAAAGAAAGTATTTAAAATCTATAAATATAAGAAGAAAAGAGAAAATTTAAGAGTACTTAGATAAAGAAGTAAAACTTATTGATATAAAAACATAAAATAATTAAAATGTATAACTCAATGGATGAGCTAAAGGTCAGATAAGATATATCTGGGGACCACGAGATAGCATAGTGGTTAAGATGCTAGACTCCCACATGACCAACTGCAGTTCACGTTCTGGACCCAGCAACTTGAAACTCTTGCTGGGCATACATACATAAATGCGCAAAACTCCAAGAGGAGAATAGAAGAGAAGGGATTACAGCATGACCATTTCCTTTGAAGGGAGAGGTGATTTCTTGCTTTCTGTCTCTTTGTCCTTCTGTGTCTCTCCAATGAGCACATGTACCCTATAGCAAAATCTCTTTAAAAAAAAAAAATCTAAAGACAGAGTTAAAGAACTAGAAAATAAACTTGATACAGCATTAAACTACAAATATGAAACGTATAAACTTATCAACTGCAAGCAAAATAGAATAAATGTCTAACATGCATCTAAAAACAAGAAATAGAAACTAAGGAGAGAAGAAATTATTTGAAATGAAAATGTCTCAGAATTCTTTAGCACTGAGGAAGGCCAACTCAGAATTTTTAGAAAATCCAAAAATCCCAAGCAAGATTAACCAAGAGACATTTATACCAAATACATCATAGAAAAACTGTAGAACACCAAAGACAGAGATGTTCTTAAAAGCAGTCCGAAAGATGGGGCCAGCAGGTAGTATGGACTGCCACATGGCTGACCACAGTTTGAGTCCTGGACATGGCAGCTTACTTTCTCACTTGCCCTCTCTCTCTGGAGGGTACACATACCCTAAAGCAAATTTTTAAAAATGATAACGATAAATAAAATTAAATAAATAATTCTTTTAAAAAGATGTAGTCAGAAAGAAAAGATAAATTAACTAAAAGGAAACAAAAATGTGATTCCTGACTTCTCAACAGCAATCATGGAAGCAGAAGGAAGAATATCAGTAATTAAGGAAAGTAAGTATTAACCTAAATTTGTATGCCTACATAAACATTTTTTAAAAATTGAGAACAAAAAAGCCATTTTCAGATATCTCAAAACAGAAAGAACTTACAAATATTAGTACCTCACTAAAAACTTTTTAATAATACTTTTAAAGGAAGTAAGAAATAACTTTAGAAGGAAGATCTGAAAGGCAAGAAGGACTGCTGACTGAGGAAAAAGAGAAACATGTGAATAAGTCTAAATAAACAACAATACTATAAAATTAGGCCAATATCTACAATAATATGTGGAATTAACATAAAACAAGATCGAACGAAATTACCGGGCAAAATTGCAAATATAAGCAATGTAAAAACCACTGACATATAAAATGGTTATACTGGGTTAACGCATGATTGGTTTGGTTTAATAGTGGGCAAATTTATACATGCAGTCTACCACATTAGAGGACAAAAGCAGGCCCAGCCACAGTGGCATAGGTGGGGATAGGTGCCGCTGTGCAGTGCTAGAGACCGAGTTCAGATCCTGGGTTGACATGAGCATGCTGGCACATGCACCCACACACAGCGCCCATCGCCCTGCTTGGTTAAAACGCTTGGGTTCAGCATGATGAGACCCCGTTCAGGGTGCCTGTCTCTCCCTCTCTAACAAAAGAAATTAAATGAATTAATTAAACTAAACCAAAAATGTCATACTATCACCTCACAGCTAGGGAGTAAGTTTTTATTAAAACCAAAGTTTTATTTTATCTAGTTTCTAACAGAAAAGAAAGAAATGTAACAGGTACCACATTCAAAATGAAAAATAAAAGGCTTAAGGAGCAAAATAAAGATACTCATCATCATTTTCAAGCACCATTACACCAGAAGTCCTAAACACCGCAATGTGAAACAAAAGGCACAGGATTGGTTCCAGAACTTTACTAAATGTGTATTCTGAATGTATACCTCAATAGTTATACCCTAGAGAAACCTTCATGTATTTATATAACAACAGTGGTTTTAAAAACTAATTAAAAATTACAGATATGATAATCAAGAATGGAATGGAAGAAATTGGCTCTATCCATATGACGTAATACTATTAATACTACTAAAGGGAATAAAATCCTTCGAAAGACTTATAAAAAAATACATATATACATATGAAACTAATTGCCTAGACTAAGAAAAAAGGACTATCTTGTCTCTGGAAATTCTCCCTGATACTCACCTCAAAAATATAACAGAAAAAAATACACATACACAAATAAGCCTTACTTCACAGCTTTGCCATTGATTTGGGACACTTGGTCGGAACTTCTGGTCACAAACCACCTTCTTCATTTCCTCTATTGATGGGTCTGAAGGCACCATGTCATAATATGGTAACTGGTACTCCTCAACAATTCCTATAGGAAATGCGCATAATAAATAGCTCTGTGTAAATAATAAACAAAGACTTCTATTGCAAAATCATATCATTTAACTCTTCAAGGCACAAGTGACACCCTGGGACACTGAAAAGTAAGGTTTATTAAAATAATGTATTGATACAAAACCAAAGACAAGTTTCAAGTACTATCATGAACAGGTGTCGTATATTTATGTAATGCTATATTATGAAAAATTTCCATAACTACATAAATTTTATATAAAATTCTCATGTAATTATATATAAATTTATGTAAATATATAGTATATAGTATATACAATATGTATAATCTCTACAATTACATAAATTTATATATTTCTCTTATACAATTATGTAAATAAAAATTTACATAAATGCCCTTGTGTAATCAAAAGTAATATCTAATTTCTCCTAATTATGAAATTTATAGTACATCCTCCTTACTCTGTGAATGAAGTACAGTCTTCCATCAAATAATTCTTTCAAAACAAAACAATTTTATCTCTGAAAACGTTTAGGCTTTTAAAAGCTGATTTTCTTAGAGTTCGCTGTTAGAATAACTACACCTGAGAATGTTCTTAGAAGCAGTAAAAAATACTTAAAGAATACATTTCAATGTGAGATAATGTTTAGAGTCTCAAATTCAAAGGCAAAGAAGACCTTAATTATCAGACTGTTATTTGAATTCCAAGCAATTCCTTATAGAATCCTTTTAATTAACTATGGCATTTTTAATTTAAAATATTTAAGATGTGTCATAATAGTAGAAAACTAACTATAAACCATGTTAGCATGATTTTTTTTTAAGAAAGGTTTTTTTTTTTTAAGAGAGATTTTTACTATAGGGTACATGCACTCTCCAGAGAGACAGAGAGAGGCAGAGAGACAGAAAGCAAGAAATCGCCACCCACGGGGGATGGCCATGCCACAATTCCTACTCTTCCATTCTCCTCTCAGGATCTTGGGCATGCATGCACATGTGCCCGGCCAGGTTTAAGCCACCAGGTCCAGGAATTGAACCCCAGTCGACTACGTGGGAGTTCAGTGATATAACCATTATGCCATCTGCTGGTCCCATTAACATGATTTTTATAGTTGAAGAAAATTAGAGGACAAAAACCTCAAAGCAAATCTAGACATATACCACTATCAAATGTTTACCAAAAATGAGTATGTTCAAAGTCTGCTATTTACCAAGCATTACCCCAAGCCCTTTGTGCATTTTAACTGATGATTCCTCAAAACTACTGACTAAAGACACCATATTGTTCCCATTTTACAACTGAGGCAACAGAGGCACAGAGTGCTATGAATCTGCTCAAGAAACGCGGAAAGTCAGTGGCAGACCTAAAATTCAAACCCAGCTCGGGAATGCCAGTGTCTGCAGTATCACTGTAACTGTATTGCTGCTATGAATACTTTCACATTCCCAGATGTCTCACTATCTCATCTGTGAATAAAAGGGAAAATTTACGCTTTCATATTCAAATTTTATTTAACTTTATAAATTTTTCATAAAATCTGCAGGTTTTTTAAAAATGAGATTTGTTACAATGCAAATTAACATCAGTACAAAATGCAAAATAGGACACTGGTTCAAAAATAACGACTCTTGTGCCAGGCAGTGGTACAGGGGAAACACAACTGGACCGACGAGGGCAAGGTCCTGGGTTCAGGAGCTGAGACCTTCCAAGGGCACATGTGCATCCTGTGACCGGGACCAGGTGGAACTAGGGGTGGATCACAGTGAGAGGACTCTTGGGTCTCCCTCTCTCACTCTCTGAAAGAGATTTTAAATATGTATTTTAAAAAGTAAAAATTAAAAAATAAAAATGGCAGCTTTTACAGAAGTTTACTATGAGCACACTCTGTACTAAAGGCTTCACATTAATTAATTAATTAAATCCTAAGAGCCTGATAGGTCAGTTTTATTATTATCTTTTTTTTTTTTTAAGGTTTTGGCCATAGGGCAGGTGCGCTTGCCAGAGAGAGAGAGAGAGAGAGAAAAAGACAGAGCAAGGGAAAGTGAGAAATTACCCCCAGGGGGGATGGCCACCCACAAACTTTCTCCTTCCTTTTCCTCTCAGGATTTTTGGCACACACACAAATGCCCAGTAGATTTTCAGGCTACTAGGTCCGGAACTTGAACCACAGTCAGCTATGTGGGAGTCCAGCACCTTAACTACCATGTCACCTGCTGGCAACTATTACTCTTCATTTGACAGATGAGGGAAGCAAGACTACATCACTTGCCTAAAATCTGACATTCAAGGAATTGTTAAACCAAGGCTTAGTCCTCAATCTGTCTCCCTTGAAATGAAACTGTAAACCATTTCTACCAGAATACAAATTTTTCTCCACTGACACAACTTCATCAGACTACATTTGTAGATTATCATCCTCCCAAATTCCTCCTCTCACTATTAAATTTTAAACTGCTGGGAGAAGTGGAGGCAAGAAGTCTGATATCATCTCTCTCCTCTACTTTACTCCTCCCCCCCAAAAATTAATCATATCACAGGAAAGAAAAGAAGAAAATCCTAAGAAACAGAAGACTTCAAGTGCTATGGTCTTAGTGTCATGTAACTTCCGTGGGATATAAAGCAGGGGCACCAGTTCACTGCATACACACTGAAATAACGTAATTGAAAGTGCTTCACAAAGTACCACTGTGGAAATCAGAATTATCAGAGCTGTTATTATCCTAGTCTAAGCAGTAATCACAACACAAGATCTTCATTTCATGCTGTTGGAAGATATCATCAAAAGGTAGGCTCTTAGGGCCAGCAGGTGGTATGGTGTTTTAGGGTTCCGGATTCTCACATGGCCATCCATGGTTCAAGTCCTGAACCTGATGGCTTGCTTTCTCACTTTCTCTCTCTCTCTCTCTCTCCCTCTCTCGCCCTACTAAAAAAAAATCTCTCTCTCTCTCTCTCTCTCTCTCTCTCTCTCTCTCTCTCACTCTGCCCCACTCTGGTCAAACGGAAAGAAAGAAGGGAAGAAAAAGAGAGAAAGGAAGGAAGGAAGGAAGAAGGGAGGGAGGGAGGGAGGGAGGGAAGGAGGGAAGAAGGGAAGGAAAGAGGAAGGAAGGAAGAAAGAAAAATTCTTTTTTAAAAAAGGTAGGCTCTTAAATATTTAGAAATGATACAATAGAATGTGCTTAGAGAGAAGGAGGAGGAGAAGATGAAGAAGAAAAATGAGAAGAAAAAGATCACATCTAGTATTCAGAGTATCAAGGAAAGGCAAACATAATATTTCCAAAAGCTTACCTCCAACTGAACACCTGCGGGCTATTTCCCAGTAAACCAGACCAACAGAGTAGATGTCAGCGCGTTTGAAGGACTCAAAGATATTCACATTCATTGTATCATCAAGCATTTCAGGAGCCATGTACCTTCAAAAACAAGCATTTCACACTATTCAATCGAATACAATCTTAATAAATTCTGACACAAATATATATTAAGATAGCTTACATTTATTTTAAAAGTAAATCAAAGTACTATAATAGAGCAAAAGTAAATCAATTGAATCAATCATTACTAAAAACTTTTTTTTTTTTAACATAGACATAGAGGTCATTCCACTTGGTGTTAAAGGAGCTCAGCACTTAGTAGATGCAAGTTGAGCAGAAATTCTACGAGCAAAGCACTTAATAGGTGAGATGGACTGTGTTTCTACCGGTAGTTTGTCACAAAAGCTCCTTGAGAACAGAATGTGTTTTGTTCATCATGGTGGCCCAAGCATTACTCAAAGCACTAGGCAGCACCTTTAGACAACTTCTCTGAATGAACAATTTCATTAAACACTGGCTCTAAGAAAATGGCAGCTCAGTTAGAACAGGGCCAAATGGAAGAAACCTATAGTTCGTGTCACCTGAGTGAGCCTAGCTATCCGACACAGATTTGGGAGGTTTCCCAGAATATTAAAGGAAAGAAACAATACACTTCCATGCTCTTTTAAAAGTGTTAGCTCCTCTGAAGGAATCCAGCATCCAAGACTAGCCTGAAGATCCCTGATGCAGAATGGTCATGTGAAGGCTCTCTCTCTCTTTTTTCAGAGAGAGATTCTTCCTATCGGGTGTGTTCGCTCACCAGAGAGACAAAAAGAGAGAAATCACTCCCCAGGGAGGATGGCCACACCTCAATTCCTTGTCCTCCACTCTCCTCTCAGGATTTTGGATATGCATACAACACGCATCTGGCGTGAGCCTCAAGCCACGGTCTGGACCGTGAACTGCAGTTGACTACGTGAGAGTCCAGCAACATAACTGTCATTTCATATGCTGGTCCCATATGCTCTCTTTTTATAGGGAAAAGAAGAGAGGTTCTTTAGGGCTTCTCAATCTAAATACACTGCCACAAGTGTTCTGAGGCTTCAATAAAGGCTCCCCGGAAACCAAGCAAGGGACTCACAGGCATTGTCCTGTAATGTCAAACATAGGCTGAATGTCAACTAGACAGCTTAGAAATTCTCTATTTTCAACAGCCTTGAACAACTCCAGGAAAATACTTGGATTTTTCTGATTTCAAGGTCAAGGACCTGGAATTTTGCTGAAGTATCATAGAGCCTGATACTCAAATAAAAGGAAGTGAAAGTATATATGAAATGAAAGTGAAATATAGCCTCAGGCTGACCATAAAAAGAAAAACACCAGAAATGCCATCTCTGATGGGTCTGTCCCGTTACTTGTGTGGTATGTTCTGTTTACGTCATCCTTGGCCTTAACTTTGAGATTGTCTGTTCCCTGAATATGAAAACTGTGTCCACACTCATAACATCTTAATATATATCAATCTGGAAGACTAAAGTATACCTACCACTATGGGAAATATACAAGTTGTTGCATAATGTCTTTAAATATTAAGAGAATATAATAGCATATAAATGTAATTACTTTGTAGAGTCCCTGTCTATTTCAACATATTGATTCTGTGTCTGTTACATATAACCTAAACATGTAGTTTCAGTTTATTTACAAGATATAAAGGCTTTGAAAGAGCTATACAATATTTACATTTTTTTTTTTTTTGGAGAGGTTTTTGCTGTAGGGCGCGTGTGCTTGCCAGAAAGAGAGAGACAGAGACAGAAAGCGAGAAATCACCCCCCCAGGGGGGGATGGCCATGCCACAATCCCTTCTCCTTCATTCTACTCTCAGGATCTTGGGCACACACACACATGCGCCTGGCGTGAGTTTAAGCCACCGGGTCCGGGACTCAAACTGCAGTCAAATACATGGGAGTTCAGCGACATAACCATTACGTTAACTGCTGGTCCCAACATTTTGTTTTTATCAGTAAGAAAACATATTCTTAGAGCATGGCACACTAAAAATAAGATATCATTATCTCTTCTCCCATTCCTCTCCCCTATATTCTACACCAAATGTTCACTACTGATATGGCCCAAAATGCCTGCTTTATAATTCCTATGCCCACGGACATCTCAGTGACCCAGAGAAGGCTTCCTGCTTTCTTGGGTCCAGTGATTTCCCATTTGGACCTGAGCCCCCTATGCACACATTCTAGCTATTGATGCTTTTTGGGAAATAGTATGTCTTACAATGCTACCAAAGCATGTCATCTTACCTCTTGGTTCCCACTTTAGGATTCTGTGGTATATCAATAGTGTTGAGTATTGAATCATGCTTCACAGCCAACCCCAAGTCTGCAATGGCACAAGTTTCACATTTTTTCACTAATATGTTCTTTGATTTTATATCTCGATGCGCAATAGCAGGTTTACCTACAAAGCATAAGAAAAGCTTGTTCATTTTCTTGAAACTGAAGACTGAGTCTAAGACTGAGTCTCTCTTAGCTCAAGTACTCAAGTACTACCTCTTCAGAGAGATACTTTTCTGACCACCCATTCTTCTCTCCAATTAATTCTCCATCAAAGTCCCCTAATTTTGCCTTTTTTTCATAGCTCTTATCACTGTCTAAGTTATTCATTCTTGCTCATGTTCAATATTTTTCTTGCCAAATGAAACTACAATGTGAATGAAGGCAGTGACTTTATCTCGTTCATCACCATGCCGCTGAGGCTTTACCAATACTGCATTTGCATTAAGCATCTGGCAAATGCTCTATTACAAAACAAGTTTCAAATTTCTTCTATCCTAGATCAGTAATTCTAAAATGTGGCCCAAAGATCCTTTTGGGCCTTTGAGACTCTTTACAGACTCTGTATGATGTTACCTTATCATCACAAGCATAAACGAAACCAACATATTGGAAAAGACTGAATGAAAAATAAGTATGAAAATCTAGACATTAAGTTAGACACTAATCAGATTTGGAAAAATGTAAAACAAAACCAATATTTTCACAAAATCAATTTTTGTATTAGAAAAATGATGTATCATTTTAAAGCTATATTATTTATGTTAACATTTAATTAATAAATTATTGTTATTTAAGTAAATGAATTTAAAAACTTTTCATTTCTAATATGGTAACAGTAATAAATATAAACCATATACACAAAAACTTTGGGGGCCCTCAATAATTTTTACAAGTGTGAAGGAATCATGAGTTCAAACTGGAGAACCACTGACTTGTCCAAACTAATGATTTTCTAGAGCCAACTTTCTATTGACTCAATAAGAAGAAAAAGCAACCGGTATTATTAGGCCTTCAAGTATATCATATGCAGTTCTTTTTTTCAAGACCACATTATGCTTTCCAATACTTTTTTAATGATCCAAGTTAAACATTCAAACTACGTGCATTCTCTAACTATAAAGCATTTGTCAATCAAAGGAAGATCTCTCAGGTAATATATGCCAAACAGCAAAGTTGAAATAGTAATACAATTTTTAAGTAATATTAAGAATAATATACAAATTGGTGAATATATAGATTGGAATTGGCTCTAACATGATAGAAACCTTCAACTTTTAAAAGTATCTTTAATGTTTCTTTGATAATCACTTGAATAAGGTAAAGTACAACTAAACACTAAAATACAACTTTGTATTTCTATCTTCACATTCAAAATATTTCAAAATATTTGAAAGGAAACACATACCCTGGGTACCAACAATCTCCATATGAAGGTGGGCTAGGCCACTAGCTATAGAAAATGCCAGCTTGATCATTCCGGTCACTGTCACTATGTTTCTATTCAAATAGTCATACAAGGAGCCTTGTTCATGATATTCAGATACAAGCCAAAGTTGAGTCCAAGTCCCATTATCTAACAGGAAAACATAATTATGTTGTTGTTAATCCATGTTGAGAAAGAAACCAAAAGCTTTGAACAAATGTCGGTGCTTAAAGTTAATCTATATTGTAAATGAAGCAAAGTCAAATTCTTCAGCAGTGATCTTTACAGTCCAAGTTAGTAAAGTAAAATTTCTCAATAAGTTCCCAACAATGTTGCTATATAGAACATTGAACATATAGAACTATGTACCCACCATAGAAATAAAAAGTTGTGAGATGGTGACTCTAAGAACCAAACAGCTCCTTTCTTCCCCCTATACCAATCCTGCTGGCTATCGCAATCACGTAATAGAAGAAAACTACCAAGAGATGCATTTAGGCAGTGTTGTGTTATAAATTACCCTGAGATATAAGGAAGATTGTACCAATAAAGATTAGAAGTACAGCAAGTTCACACAACATACTATTACCATCATAAAAGCTCTAACATTGTAGGGATTTGCATGTTGTTTACCTTTCAAAATATGAAGTCGATGATTTTTCCTGAAAGCTTACATTGAGAGCCAAACACAATCACTAGACATTTTCAAATAATTTACCTCATTTAACCAAAATCAATCCAGATTAGAAAAGACTTTTAGCATAAAATAAATTAGGCTAAAATTTCTCTAGGCATTAGAATCCCTAGTGTTAGCTTTTAGAATAAAGTGTCTACAATAACCCTGGGTGGTTCTGACCAGTGCTGACACCCAGGGAACAGAATCTATAATGAACATTTGCTAAGAACACCTCCTGCCAGGTGCTTTATGTACAAGAATTCCTCGTTATCCAAATATTTAATTTCCAAATCCGGTTAGTAATAAAATTTCCTAGGAATGTAAAAGTCAACATGACATTATAAAGTTCACTAATGAACAGACCACACGTGAAACCCTTATTCACACCTCTCTCCCTGACTGACACCAACGGTTATCTTTACCTTCTCACGTCAATGTTTCTGTCAGACAGTTGACTAAAAAGTGAAACTGAAAATTTTGTAAAAGATAAAGAAATCCACGTGAATGAAAGTAACAGTATACACCATTTAGAATCAGATGCAAAGTCAGCCATAGACAAGTAAGGGTATGACAGAGGCAGGCCAATTCAACTTTAGAGAAAAACAAGAATGCTCTCTCTTGTGCACATTTTTTTTACTAATCCAATAAACATCATGATTAAACTAGCTTTTTAAAATGATAATATGACGATGACTGCCTTGATAGTACTGTTAATTAATCTAACCAATAAGAATCTCAGTTCCAGATTAGGAGAGAAAATAAAAAGTTCTGAAAAGCTGAGTGAGAACTGTTGAGAAATGGATCATTTTTCAATAGTCTGGATGTAGTTTCAAAGTATACATAGTTAAGAATTTGAAAAGAGGGAACCAGCAGTTAGCGTAATGGCTATGTCGCTGGACTCCCATGTAGTTGACCGTGGTTAGCGTCCCGGACCCGGTGGCTTAAAACTCATGCCAGGCACGTGTGCGTGTGTGCCCAAGATCTCGAGAGGAGAATGGAGGAGAAGGGATTGCGGCGTGACCATCCCCCCTGGGGGGGGGGTGATTTCTCGCTTTCTGTCTCTCTCTGTCTCTCTCTGTCTATCTGGCGAGTACATGCGCCCTATAGCGAAAACCTCTCCAAAAAAAAAAAAAAAAAAAAACTTTGAAAAAAAACATTTAAAAAAAAAAA